AATATTTAAAATCTTTTTTTCATCTCACAAACCCTTTTCTTTCTGTCTCTCTCTCTCTTCTCCCCCCCTTTTTTCCTTTTTTTCCTTGTCATATCGTCTTCTGTTAATTTTTTTTTATTTTTTCGCAAAGGAAATATTTTAATAATTAATGTAGAAAATAATTTTTTTTAACAACATTTTATTTAAAAAGAAAATTTTTTTATTTAACTATTCCCCCAAAGGAAAAAAAAAGAAAAAAAATATGTGGAAAGTCGACAAAAGTTAGGATTTTCTCGATAAAATAAAATTAGAATTCGATAATAAAAAATTAACCATTGAATCAAAGGTAAAATTTCTATTAAAAAAAATAATAAATCGACTTTTTATCTTTTTTTCCTTTTATTTTATTCCCTCCCCCGAATATTATATTCCCTCCACGCAATAATAAAAATTAAATTTTTTAAAATTCAAAGAAAACATAAAAAAATTAGTAATAAAATATTAATCGAGGCACAAAAAAAAAACAAAAAAACAAAAGGAAAAGGAAAAAAATTACATCTCACATTAATTCCACTACAAAAAAAAGGAAAAACTGTAAAAGAAAAAGCTCAAAAAAAAGGACATGAAAAGTAAAACAAAGAAAACTTAAATTATTAAATGGAATTTAAACATTCAAATAATAAAAATATACGTTATTCTTTTTTTTCTTTTCCTTTTTCAATAAAAAATAATAAAAAATAATTTTCAAAGGAAAAAAGAAAAAACGATCAATAGTTATTCAATAATAATTGTCAAAGGGAAAAAAAATAACAATAACTTTTCAAAATTGTTTGTATAAAACTTAAATTTAAATATCGTGAAAATAAAAAAAAAAAGGAATTTTCAAAAATATTTTATTTCCTTTGATCAATCAACTTCCGGTTTTACTTTTTTTTTTATAAAATAAAAAAAATTTTTTAAAGGTTTTTTAAAAAAATTTAATAAAAACTTCATAAATAAATAAGATATAAATTCCATTGAATTTATATCGTCAATCAAATTTTTTTATCGTAATTAATAACGTCGTGGAAAATTTTTTCCTTAACACGCTCCTGAATACGGATCAAAATGAGTTTAAAAAAAAAAAATTTTTTTTTTTGCAAAATTTACAAATATTTTTTTTTTTATTTAGAAAAATGATTTTAGTTATTATTAAATTCTCTTCTTTTTTTTTTTTTAGCCGAAACGTGTTGTGAATCCCGTTGTGAGAAAAAGAGTGAGAGAGAGAGAGAGAATGAAAAATTCTTGCAGCAGCAAATCAACAGAATCGGCAAAAAAAAAAAGAAAAAGGAAATGGAAATTTGATTGAAAAATTTAACGCGGCGTAAAACGGAAATAACATTACTTACATTAGGTTTATTAAAAGTGTTTAGTAAAAATCGCAAAAAAACTATTTTTTATTTTGAACTATTCCGCCTATGTTTAACTTATACATAAAACCAATAATTTAAATTTAATTATATTTTTACGTTATCATCATACGTTATTACTGATAATGCCATTTTTTTTTTTTTTACTATGAATTTTTTAGTCGATCGGCCGATTACGGGAAAGTTCAGACGATAATTAAAAATGTTGAAAATTTCATTATTATTATTATTCATCGTCGTCTGCTGTCGATACGTTAAAGGTGCAAACATATTAGGAGTTTTTAGCGTACCGTCAATCAGTCATCAAATTGTGTACAGAGCATTAATGTTAGAATTAAATCGTCGCGGTCATAATTTAACGGTTATAACTCCAGATCCGATAAGAGATTCCAGTTTGAAAAATTATAAAGAAATCGACGTGTCGTTCATGTACGAATTATGGAATCGTAAAATGATAGCAAGTCCGAAAGATTTTAAAATAATCGACGAATTTCCAGAGATATTTATTTTTTTATTTGCAAAATTAGGACCGGAAATATGCGAAGGTTATTTATCGAGTCCGGAAATACAAAAATTATTACTGGAAAAACCTGAATTCGATATACTGATAACGGAATTCGGTTCGCATCCGTGCGTTTACGGTTTTTCAAAATTTACATCGTACAAACACATCGGAATGACATCGTTCCAAACAATTCCAGTCGTACATTCGAACATTGGAAATTTAGCGACACCATCATACATTCCAGATCCGTTTTTCTCCATAACGGATTCAATGAATTTCGTACAAAGATTACGATCGACTATTTTTCATTTATTTATGTGGTTCGTTTACGGTTACACGATGTGGAGTCAAAATAAAATAACTAAAAAATATTTTGGAAATGATTTGCCTCATTTAATCGATCTGGAGAGAAATTTAACATTGCTTATGGTCAATACGCATTTTTCCATGAGTTATCCGAGACCATATCCGGTTAATTTAATCGAAATCGGTGGGCCGCCATTTCATTTAAACGGAAGGAAACGGAAATCGTTACCGAAGGTAAATTTTTCTTTTGTTTTCATCGGAATGACGATTCGACGGGAAAAAATCACTAAAAAATTTCCAGACAAACTTTAAAAAAAAAAAAATAACGAAAGTTAATAATAAATTAAAAATCGATCGATAAAATTTTTTTTTTTTTAAAGTTGGCAAAACTTTTTTTTTTCACGACTATCAAGATAATTTTCTTTTTTAATTAAGTAATTAATGACGTTTTTTTAATCGATTAAAAAATTTTCCACTTCCGCTTTTTGCTTAAGATTTTTCTCTCGTACCCACCCTCCCTCCCCGAGCCCCCCTTTTTTTTTGAAAAGGTAAAAGAGAAAAAAAAAAATTTTCCGATACTTTTTCATTAAAAAAAAAAAAAAAACTATCGGTTTAGCATTTTTAAACAAAACCAAAAAACAAATTTTTAAATACTTTTTTTTTTTTGTTCTTTTATTGAAAATTTAACGGAAATTTTTTTGTTTTAACTTAAAAAAAAAAACTTTTTGCTAAATCTCTGTCGGAAAATTCTTTAGATAATAAAAAAAAAAAATGGCGGCGTTTAAAAAAAATTTTTTTTCAACGCTCGTTGAATTTTTTTTTTTCTAAAACAAAACGTTTAGGAATTAAAACGCGATGTCGTTTTGTAAAAATTTAATAATCATCATTTAACAAAATTGCTGTCGTTTAAAAAATTTTATTATTATTATTATTATTTTTTAATAACTTTCTTGTTTTTAAATAAAAAAAAAGATAAAACGCGTAACCAGAATCTGATTATTTGTTTTTTTTTTTTTTTTTTTTTTTTTTTTTTAAATCAAACGACTAAAAACATAATGATAAAAAAATCAAATTTTATCATTAAAAAACCAACAGCAACAGTTATTATTATCGTGCGATCATGATAAGTCGATGATAGAAAAACAAAAAAAAAAAGCAGAAGAGAATAAAATGAAATTTTCAGTGTTTTCAATAATTGTATTTTCAATATTTTTTTTTTTTATTCGTGTTTGTAATGGTGGAAAAATATTGGCCATATTACCGACGGCAGCATTTAGCCATCAGCAATTTTATAGAAGTTTTCTTATTGAATTACATAAAAGAGGACATAGCTTAACAGTGGCGACAGCAAATCCGATAAATAATACAAACATGACCGATTATAGGGAAATAGATTTAGGTTACGGTTATGATTACCTTCAAAAATTTATACACGAAGGTTTCGGTTCAAAAAAATCACAGAGAATGGATCCCCTGAGTTTTTTTCCTGTCGCGTTAAAAATCGTTTTTACAATATGCGAAAAAACTCTGTCGGATGATAATTTGATGTCTTTATATAAAAATAATGAAAAATTTGATTTGATTATACTCGAATGGGGTATAAACACTTGTTTTTATCCTTTCGAAAAATTATCAGATGGTAAAATAATAGGTATAGCCTCCTACGAAATCGGAACTCTAACTCACCTAGCCTTGGGAAATCCATCAAATCCTGCATACTGTCCTGATCCATCGTTAGATTTCACCCACGAAATGAATTTTTCCGAAAGGGTGTCTTCGTTCTTGTCCTACGTAACATCTTTCGTCGTACAAATTTACATAAAATGGAAAGAAAATAAAATCGCGGAAAAATATTTTGGAAACGATATGACGTCACCGTACGTGACGGAAAAAAAAGTCGCGTTGGTTTTTGATAATAGTAATCCGATAACGAGTTATCCTAGGCCGGGAAGTGTAAATTTTATACCCTTGGGAGGCCCCCCTTTTCATTTGAATAATAGAAAATTTAAAAAGTTGTCCGAGGTAAGTGTAAACAATTTTTTTTTCCGGGGGGTTTTTCCGCCGGGTCGAACGTCGTATTTTTGTGGAATGAATGAATGAATGAATTAAACGTGTACGAAATCTTTTTTGAATGAAGGACAAAAATTATAGCGGATATTGATATAGCAATCAATCATATTGACGATGATGTGAAAAATCGAATACGTCGTCATCATCATCATCATCATTCGACTATATAATAATAAATTTAAAAAAAAAATTTTTTTTATTACGGGAATTTAAATTTCATTCAATTTTATTTTATAGCACTATTAAACGCTCTATAAAATTTTTTACTATTAAAAAAAAATCGTAATTTATTTATAGTAGAAAATTAAAGAGCTATAATAATAATTTTATTAATTTTTTTTTTTTTACACCTTTACCAAAAATTTTTTTTTAGCGTTGTAATAGTTATAGTTTTCTCTTTATTTATTTATAAATTAAATTTTGATTGATTGATTGATTGATCGTTCGATTTAAAAAAAAAAGTTTAAAATAAATATTAAAAAAAAAATAAAAAAAATAACTACACGTGAATTTAATTCAAAAATTTATTGTAAGTAAAACGCTTTGGTTGACGTTTAGCTTACGGTACGCTTGGTCAATTTATTCACTCTAAAACGAATAAGTTTCTTACGTAAGGTTTTATTTTCCCGCCAAAATTTAAGGAAAGTTTTTTTTTTAATCGAAATTTTTTTTTAGAGAATGAAGCGTTTTGATTTACCCAAAAAGTCGTCATTTTTCGAGTGGTAAAAAGAGGAAATGACGTAAAAAAGAAAAAAAATTTACAAAAATACATTTTTGTTGAAAAATGGAAAATTTTTTTCGGGAAAAACATTTTCCCATACTTTCAAAAAAAATTTTTTTTTTTTTTGTAAATCAAAATAAAATTTAGATCAAATGAGCTTTAAAAGAAGAAAAAAGCAAAAAGAAAAATCCCTGATTTTTTAAGTAGGTTTAAGTGGAAAACAAAGAAAAAAAAATTTTTTTTCTCGAATTTTCCAAAACAAATATTTACGTATCTCAAGCTTTTTTCTCCCCCTTCTCCCCCCTAAAAACATCTCGAATTACAAATTTATTCTTTTTTTTTGTGCGTGTGCGTTTGGGGAGAGAAGGAGAGGGGAGGGACTCGTTTAAAAAAAAAATTTTTATACAGAATCAAATCCTTGTTTCTCGATGTTAAATACATCGACCTCTTTTCGGAGGGGGCAAGGCCCCTTTCCTTCCCCTCAAATAACCGGTTTAAATTCGTAGACATATATATTTTTTTAAATTTAATTTAATACGTAATAATTTCATTTTTTCGAAAAGAACGAGGGAGGGGAAAAGAAAAAAAAAATTAAAAATTAAACGCACGTAGAAAGCGCGCCAAAAAATCAATTTGTGACGTCAAATAAATTCTTTCTTTTTTTTGTTTTGCTTCTTTCCCCTTCCCTTTACTTCCCCTACACGAACCACCCTCTCACCAAACACACACGCACGCGGAAGGGGGAAAAATTTTTTAATTTTTTATTTTAATTTCAGGAATTAAAAAAATTTATGGACGAAGCACAAGATGGCGTCATTTTTTTCAGTTTAGGTACGAACGTTAAAACGAATTCAGGTTTTACGCAAGAAGAAAAAATATTAATCGAAACATTTGGTAAAATGAAACAAAGGATTTTATGGAAATGGGAAAACGAAAATCTTAATGTTATTTTGAAAAACGTTAAAATTTCAAAATGGTTTCCGCAAGTTGAAATTTTATGTAAGTTTAAACATCAATTTTCTCACGAAAAAAAAATAAAAAAAAAAAATTTAGGGGGGGGGGTGAGGGAAACAATTCACCGAAGTTATTATTAATAAGAAAAACAAAAATGGCGGATCATTCATAAACGACTGTTTTGAATTATTATTAATAATACATAGGATTAAAAGCGTTATAAAATGATGACACGTCGTGTCACGTGTCAATCAAATTGGAATTTTTAAATCCATTCAAAATGGCGGATTTTAAACATGAAGAAAAAATATAATAAATAAATAAGTAATGAAATTAATAAAATGAATTTTATCCTTAACTTACGTAAATAAAAAAATAAATAATAATCCGTTCGGATTATTATTTATTTATTTATTTTTAATAAATAAATAAATAAATCGATATCGATATTTCCGAACGACAAATTTTTTTTTATATTAAAATTATTATTAATATTTATTATTATTATTATTATTATTATTATTATTATTATTATCGAACAGACAATCCGACGTATAAATTATCTAAAAATTAATCTATTACTTTTTGGCGCGTCTTCAATAGGATAATGCACGATCGAAGTTAAAAAAAATAGTAATTTCAAAGTAAAATGACGATGAAAAAGCTTTACGTTGACCCTTGACTATCAATGTTAATCAAAAAAAAAAAAAAAAAATTTTTTTTACTTTTTTTATTTTTATTTTTTTAAAATTTAAAAAATTTAAAAACGTTAAATAAAAACTAAAATCTTTTAGTTATGATAAGAAATGAATATGATAATGATAATGATGATGATGATGATAATAAAACAATCGTACGCGTTTTTTAAATAATTATCGATAAGACCTAATTTTTTAAAAATAAATTTTTTTTTTTTTGTTTATTTTTTTGTAAACGAAAGCTCATCCGAACGTGAAAGCGTTCGTTACACAGGGAGGACTTCAAAGTATCGGAGAAGCGATAGAATATAAAGTACCAATGATAATAATGCCATTTTTTGCGGATCAAGGTCATAATGCCATGAAAATGAAATCCGTCGGAGTGGCAAAAGTTTTCGAATTCAATGAATTAAACGTCGAAGATTTCACGGAAGCTTTGAATGACGTTTTATATAATTCCACGTAAGTTTTTTTAAAAGTCAAAGGTTAACAATTAATTCTTCTTAAATAAATAATACAATAAAAAAATAATAATAATAAAAAAAACCTTAAGGTTTTTTTTTTTTAATAACTAAAAAAAAATAATAATAAACGCGTGAAAAATCAAGGACTCGATGATCCGACCAATGAGAAGCTTTATTCATTTTTAAAAGAATTTCATTTTTTTTTTTATTAAAAATTTCAATTATTATTATTATTATTATTATTATTATTATTATTAAATTAATTTATATTTATGACGTCAATATTAATAATAAAAACGAAAGAGAAATAATTTATTTATTAATTAAATTATATTTATAAAAAAATTCGCTTTAAAAAAGCAAACGAAATTTCAATTCTGCCGTCATTATTATTATTGCTGTTGTTATTATTATTTTGCTGTTATTATTATTATTTTGCTGTTATTATTATTAATATTATTATTATTTTGTGTTGCAGGTATAAGGAAAACATGATAAAATTTAATAGATTAGTCAACGATCAACCGATGCCACCATTGGAAAAAGCAGTTTGGTGGACAGAATACGTACTGAGGCATAACGGTGCGCCTCACCTTCGTTCGGTTGCTGCCACGATGCCGTGGTATCAATATTTATTACTCGACGTTTTGGCATTTTATTTATTAATCATCCTAATTTTTATTTATTTGATTTTTAAAACGGGGAAAACATTAATTAAATTTATTTTTCGTTTTAAATGAAAAAATTAATTAATAATTGCATCGTCGTCCGTCATCGTCGGTCATCGCCGGTCATCGTCGGTCATCGTCGGGTATCATCGTCGTGGTCGTTAAATTTTACAAAATTTAAGATTTTTTTACAATAGTTTTTTTTATTTATTTATCGATTGGACAAATTCATTTTTTAAAAATATTTATTTATTTACTGTAAGTTTAAATAATAATTAAATAATTAATAACGTTTATTTTTCTATTGCCACGTACTTTTACAAAAATAAAAATAAAAATTTTTTTTAACTTGCGCATAATTGCATTCTTTAAAATTTAAAAAAAAAAAAAAAAAAACTCAAAAACATACTCGAATTAAATTTTCAAAAAGAAAAAAAAAAAAAAAACAACAACAGGAAACTGGAATGTGTGTGAAAGTGAAATAACAAAACAACAAGTACAACTAGTGTTTGATTTACGACGGAAATTTTAAATAAAAAAAAAGCCCGCGAAAATTTAAAAATCCATAAATAAACCATAAAATTTTAATTTTTACCGTATAATTTTTATCATTACTATTATTATTATTAATATCATTAAATAGATTAATTAAGTTAATAAAAAATTTATAAAATCGAATTATTTTAATAAATTAAAAAAAAAAAAATTAACCGGAAATGAAATTCCAACAACGCAAAAATTAAATATATATATATATAAATTTAATTCAAAATCTCTTTTACGTCACATATTTCTTCCACTTCCGTTTCCCCCTTTTATTTTTTATTTTTAATAATATATTTATTAATAATTATTATTATCACTTATGAAAATTATTATTATCATTCGTTTGTTAATAAAATATTTAAATATTTCAGATAAAATTTTTATTCCGTCGAAATCGAAAAAAAAAAAAATGAAAGAGTAGGGGGAAGAGTAAGGGAAGGGGGAAGGGGGAATAAACCAGGAAGTTACGGTTCGTGATTTTTTTTTTTTTATCCAGCATTCATTTGACCTCTTTTTTGACCTTTTGTTGTTATCGTTCCACATAATTTTTACAACATTTTTCTTTTTTATATGGTAAATAAACATTTTTCGGAAAGGAAACTGAAAAAAAAAAATTTCCAGAGTTAAAAATATTTTTTTTTTTCTGGAGAAATAATTTAAAAAAACTTTTCCAGATACTTCAAACTGGAATTGTTGTGGAAGAAATACAAAAGGAGAAAGAATGAATTATTAAATCTTTTAGTCAGTCACAGAGATTTTCTTTTATATAAGTGAAAATAAATTTAACTTTTTTTTTTTTTTTTTTGTTGTACTTTCGAAAGAATCACTATTATTATTATTATTATTTTATCATCACCCACGATTTTTTATATCAAATAAAGCAGAAGACGATATAAAAAAAATTTAAGAAAACAATAGATGCTATTTAATGGAGTAAACCTTGACACCTTAAATAATAATGATAATATTATAAAAAATTTCAAGATTTTATTTTTTTTGTTTTAGATAAAGAAAAAAAAAATTAAATGACTTCGACTGAATCATCCGCCATATTGGTTTTGTTGGAAATATTAATTATGTTAGGTAATTAAAAAAAGGAAAAAAAATGGCGGGAAAATAAAAATATTTCATTCATTCGATGACAGGAAGTCAATTCGTAAAAAAAATTTTTTTTTTCTTCTCCAAATTTTTAATTTGATTTCATTTATCCGATCGATAAATCAAAATCCGAACAACGACGACAGTTAAAAAATTAAATTTTTTTTTTAATTTGAACAAAAAAAAAAGAAAAAAATGATGGTAATAATAATAATAATAATAATAATAATAATAATAATAATAATAATAATAATGATAACGATAACGACGACGACGACAAAAAAGTCGTTCTGAAAAAAAAAAAACGACAATTCATTTTTTCCTTTTTCCTTTTTATTCGAATTCAAAAATAATAACCGGAAATTGTTTTTTTTCATTCTTGTATTTCCGAAAAATTCAGTCATGGCAACAATATACGAAAAATAAATAATTAACAATCAATCATCATAAACAATTATTAAAAAATACCGCAAAGGTTTTGGAATTTGTTTTATTAAAAAAAATTAACAACCACTGGAGAAATTTTTTTTTTTTTTTTTTGAAAATTTCCACACAATATTTATTCCAAAAAGTATATATATCGTGTTCCAAAATTAAGTAACTTTGTATTTAAAGAAAGAAAATTAATAACTATATAAAAGTATGAATAATAATAATAATAATGTAATAAATGGGCCATAACGTGATTGCGGTCGTTTTCAAAAAAAATACGCGCCATTTTAGAAATTTTTTTCAAAAAGAAATAAAAAACAATAAATAAATAATAATAATAATAGTAACAAATAAATTTACGTATTGTAACGATTATTCGAATAATAATAATAATAATAATAATAATAATAATAATAATAACAAATTTTATCGTGGTTTTAGTTAATAACGACAATCATTTATTTTTAAGTTTGACGTTTTTATAAAAATATACAAAATCAAAATTTGTTTTTTTTTTTTTATCACGCGAAAAAAAGAAAACAAACGACCTAAAATTTTTATAACACATTTTATAGTCGTTTAGAAAATATATATATATATATTTTTTTGACATTTCACAAACAAACAAACGAACGAACAAACGAGACAAACGGCAGAGAAGATAAAAAAAATTTTTTTTTTTTCCAGTTCGATTAAATGACTGGAGTTAACACATGTCGAAAATATCAATCATTAAAATAAAAAATTTTCCGAATTAAATTTTCAAAAAAAAATTCATGAAAAAAAAAAGTGTCACTAGAATATTTTTTTTATTTTTAAAAACTCTTTCTACGGTTTATAAAAAAAGTTTCCGTATAATTTTAATAATAATAATAATAATAATCGTTATGAAAAACTTTATGAAAAAAAAATATACATATATATAAAACTTTTTTCTTTTTTTTTTTTTTACATTTTTAAAACTCATTAACATATTTTAAAAGTGTAAGAAGAATGAATGGAGGAGGAGAGGAGGGGGAAGGGGAAGAGGAAATCACATACGAATCAAAAAAAAAAGAAATTTTTAATTCGACTTCACGTCAGTCAAAGATTAAAAAACAAAAAGTTTTAAAATTTAATTCTTATGTATGACAGTAAAAAAAAAGGAAAATTTTCTCTCTCTCACTCTGTCTTTCCCCTCCCCCAAAAGAAAATAAAATAAAATACGCCAACAAGTTGCCATTTTGTTTTTTTTTATATATATATACATTTAAAACGTACGAACGCAACCATTATCATTATTATTATTATTATTATTATTATTATTATTATTGTCAAATTGACGGCCGCAAAAAAAAAAAAAAATTTTTTTGGCAGACGTTAAAGCTGCAGCACAAAAAAAATAAAATAAAAAAATCCCGGTTTTTTTGCGCTCGGAAAATTCCTCTTCCCCTTCCCTCATTTTATTTTGGCCCCTCCCCTTCTCCTTCCCTCCCATTTTAACTCCTCCTCCTCCGCCTCCGCCTCCTCCTCGTCACTCATTTTTTTTCCCGCATTTAAATATATTTTGTAAATAAATCGTAAAAAAAAAAAAAAATTTTGCGTGGGGGGGTCGTCAAAATAAACATTATTTTTTAACATTTATATTTTTTTTCGGAAGTTAATAAAAATCCGGAGGTTTCTTTTATCGAACGGAATTCTAAAAAAATAATAATAATAATGATAATATTCAATATTAAAAAGAAAAAAAAGTTCGAATGAGAGAGAGAGAGAGAGGAAAAAAGGGAAAACAAAAATGTCGGATAGTTTTTTTCTTTTTTCTTCCGGTAAGGAAAACAGAAAAAGAAAAATAAAAATGAGTGGGAATCAAATTCGAAATCACCGAAAATAAAATAAAATAAAATAAAAATTTTTTTTAATAAAAAATGAAAATTATTATGAAAGAAAAAGGAAAAGAAAAAAATTTTCCCACTTTCTACCTAAAAATTTTTCGTCCTTCATTTTTATTTTATTTTTTTTTCGTGATATGAAAATCAAAATAAAAAATAAATGATTCGTCTTGGAATCTGTAGTAATAATAATAATAATAATAATAATAATAATAATAATAATAATAATAATAATAATAATAATACGTATACGTATTGCGTAATTGACAAAAAAAAAAAAAAGAAAATTTTTTTTTTGTTTTATTTCGTCATAGAGTAAATAAATTCTTATTGAAATGAAAAAGCACGTTCAGAAAACAAATAAAAAAAATAGTACTCGAGTAGAAAAAAATTTTTTGTTGCCCCCTCTTCCTCCCTTTCCCCTCTCTCCCCTACTCCCCTTCTATATCAAAAATTCGATTTGATAAACGTATGAATATTATAATTATTCAGTACCGTATTAAGAAAATTTTTCTTTATCGTTTTTATTTATTAAAATAAAATAAAAAAATTTTTTTTTTTATTCGAAAAAAGAAAAAATCAAAGGAAAAAAAATTTATAATGGGGAGGGTTGCGTTTAATGTTGGGTAAATTGTTAAAATATTTATTATCGTAAATTATTGGCGCGAAAATCATTTAAATTTGAATTTTTTTTTGTTTTATTCGTCAGCATAAAAAAAAATGTCGCAAAAAAAAAAATTATCAAAGAGTTTAATTGACCTCTAGT